GGCCAGCCCAGGACTGAGTCCCCAAAATGCTTAGAAAATAGCAGCTTAAAAAAAAAAAAGAGGGGCGCCTGGGTGACTCAGCCAGTTGAGTGTCCAACTTTGGCTCAGGTCATGATCTCATGGTTTGCGAGTTCGAGCCCCACGTTGGGCTTTGCGCTGATACTGTGCATCCTGCTTTGGATTCTCTGTTTCCCTCTCTCTCTGCCCCTCCCCTGCTGTCTCTCTCTGTCTCTCTCTCTCTCTCTCTCTCTCTCTCAAAAATAAACATTAAAAAATTAAAAAAAAATAGCAGCGTAAGGAATGAGTGAATGAACAATGAATGAATGAATGAATGAATGACTCCCTAGCTGAGCACACCTAGAGGCCTTCCTTGGGACCTTGAGGCCCCCAGAGCTGTCCCCTCTCCACCCCACGTCCTCCTGGTTTCCCCGGCTCTCCCCTCCAACCACCAGCCTGAGCCCCACACCCAGACTAAGCCCGTCCTGCCATTTCCAAGGCAGCCTCTTCCTTCTGAGACTGATGGAAACCCTAATCTCCTTATCACCAACAGCTATCAGGCCTCGAGTACTTACTGCAGGTTCCCATAGGCAACCACCTGAATGAGCTCAGGGAACTGTCACAGCAGTTCTGTGGAGGGCCCTCTACATTTTCCCAGCTAAGACAGAAGGAAACTGAGAGCCTAAGAAACACGTCTGAGGCCACAGAGCTGGTGAGTAGGTAGGCAGGTGCCGGTTTACGCAGTCTGACCTCTGACCTCCCGTGCCCACGCTCCACTGTGTCTGAAGTCCTTTCCCTCACAGACCTGGCACCCTCTCTCACTCTCTCTGGTTCTCGGGCACTGGGCCCCGCAGGCCCCGCAGCCCCAACCACCCCGTGAGCAGCTCACCTCGTAATCCACGCCGACCCGGTTCAGGGCGATGTTGATGGTGAAGGTGGAGGCGTCGTGGTGCGGCATGAGGGACGGCTGCTCATCCGGCTTGTAGCGGACAACAAAGGCCAGGTCGAACTGGGCCTGTGTCAAGGGGGTGGGAAAGAGAAGCGGCTGGACAGAAGCCGCTGAAGAGCAGGAGAGGCAGGGGTGCAGAGGAGGGGCCGCTCACGCAGTCTTTGGGATGCTGGCTCCCTGAGGGCAGGTTTGTTCAACGCCGTGTTCCCCCGTGCCTGGCACAGGGAAGGCTTTCAATAAAAAACGTGCAGAGAGGGGAAGGGACAGAAGGAAGAGAAGGGAAGGGAGAGGAGAGGAGGGGAGGGAAGCTAGGGCAGAAGGAAGGCAGCTCATCCTCACAACCCTTTATGGCAACTATGCAGGCTGCTGATTCGTCCGTCAAGGGCAGTGCCCAGGCTGTCAAAGCAGGTGTCTGGAGAAAGCCTTGTGCGTGAGGCGGTGATCAAGGGAGGGAAGGAGAGCAAAAGGCAAAGGGGCAGTCAACAGGTACTCAGTGGGGAGCTAAAGGGAAATTGAGAGAGGAGTGAGTATGCTGGCCAGCGAGCCGGGGGCTTGTCTGCAAGCTGGGCAGAGGCATCCTTGAGGCAGGATTTAAGGACACGAAGGAAGGAGTCAGAGGAGTGATGTCATAGGCTGGAGGCAAGGCGGGCTGCCCCTACCCTGGACTCTTCCAGAGGCGCCCCCACCATGGGAGGAGACTTCACTCCCACCTGGAGACCAAACATTCAGGCCTCTCCCGCAGGCTGGCACCACTCTCTCTCCTTCCCCCGACTCTCCTCTCCCTAGCCACTCCCCTCCCCACCCCCTCCCTGGCTACATCCCAGGCACACCCACCCTGGTATAATAGCCTGGGTAGAGCTTCTCGGTCATGGGGGCGATGTACTCCACCAGGAACTTGTGCCATTCCCGCTCGAAGCTGATCTGGTTCATGTGGATGTCGATGGTTGGTACGTTTTCGTAGCCACCCTGGATGCGGTTGTCCTGGAAGTGACCAAGGCGAGCGTGGTAAGCAGAATTCTAAGACGGCCGCCTGGTGTGTGGACTGCCCAACCGCCCCCACCCCACCTGTAAACACGATGGGATGAGGTTAGGGCAGAGGGCAAAGCGAACGGGCTCTGCAGATGTCACTGAGGTAACAAGTCAGTTGACTTTGGGTTGATCACACGGGAGAGTGCCCCGGGCGTGCCTTTAAATGAGCATCTTGAAGAGAGAGACTCTCCCACTGGCCTGGAGGAAGCACGGGAATGAATTCTGCCACAGGAGCTTGGATTAGGACCCCGAGCCTCACCTGAGACCCCAACCCTGGCCGCCCCTCGACTACAGCCTCGAGAGACCCCTGAGCAGAGGACCGGCTAAACCACATGTGGACTCCTAGAAACCCGGAGATGATACACGGGTGTTGTTTTATGCTGTTGAAGCTTCATGGTGATTTGCTACACCGCAGAAAAAACCAGGTGCAGAGGGTCACAGGTTGGCTCAGGCACTAGAGTCCCAGCACTGACCTGGTCCCAGGAGCACAAAGGCTGGCCAGACCCCAGAAAGCATGGGCTGTGCCAGTTCCTGGCCTCCGAAGATGATCTCACCACCAAAGCACGTGGATGAGGCTGGTAATCGGAACCACTGGTTACTCCAGCTGCCAGGTCAAAGGTTAGCCAGGCTCTGAGGCACACAGGCCCAGGGCCTCATGTGCCTTTAAAAATGCCCCCTGAACTTTCTGAACTACAGGTACGGGATTCCTCTTCCAGGGAACCACACAGCCTCTCAATCCAATATGCCACTTGCTTCTGCTGTCTGGTGAATGTGGCCTTAACGTCCCTAATTCTTCCTCATCCCACACTTGCTTGTTCCTCCCCCATTACACACCCAATCTGGTAAAGGAAGCTAAATCATTCTAATAACAAACCAGGAACTGGAAATCTAGAATGTGAGATTAAGGCAGCTCAACGTCACCGAGCGGTCATGGCAGCCTGGGGACCCATACTCCAACCCATTTCTTAAATCCCCTACTCCTCAGTGCCAGAGGACCCCCCAAAAGAGTCCCAGAGAGAGGGGTGCCTGGGCGGTTCAGTCGCTTAAGCGGCCGACTTCGGTTCAGGTAATGATCTCACGGTTTGTGGGTTCGAGGCTGACGGCACAGAGCCCACTTCAGATCCTTTGGCCCTCTTTCTCTCTGCCCCTCCTCTGCTCATTCTCTCTCTCAAAATAGATAAATAAACTTAAAACAAACAAGCGAACAAAGTCCCAGAGAGGTTGGCCAGCTTGTCAGGAAAACAGCCCAGAGGGCAGGCTCCCCCACATTTCCCAGCCCAGGCACCTGGGCCCCCACCTTGTTATCTCCCAGAGACCACTGGCCATAGTGTTCCATCTCCTCCACCAGCTCGTCACAGGCCGTCTCCGTGAAGATGGGGAACCAGTAGACATCTGGGCAGGGCTGGGGAGGGCGGGGACGGAGGGGAGGACTCAGTCACACGGGTTCAGGTGGCACCGCTGCCTCTTCCCCCACCTCCCCCACCCCCCTGTGGAACCCGCCACAGGCAGGGCCCCTCAAGTGGCCCAGGCGCTTCCCCATACCCTGGTCCGTGAGCTGCTAAAGGGGGAAGGAAACAGCTCAGAGCTGGTCTTTCTCAGCCAAGGTCACAGAACTACCGGGGCAGAGCCAGGAAGGGAAGGTGCGTACGGAGGGAGGACAGCCCAGCAGGCTTCAGGGCAAATAGAGAAGCACTGTTTCTTACTACTGGCCCCTGGTCCACGGTTGAGACCACATTTGGGGACATTTCCTCTTCCTCGCCTGGGCCAGGAGAGCAACCCAAGGTCCCGAGGCCCCTGTAGACTCCAGCTGGGAAGTACCAACAGGAGGAAGGACCAGCCCACTGCCCATGCTCTTGCCCGAGTGCTTCCAGAACACAGAAAGATGCCTCCCCTTCTCTCCTGGGGCAGCTAATTGCCTTCCCCTGCCCTCCATCCCCCTCAGCAGGTGTAGGGTGTGAATCAGTACCTTTGTTCCCAGAGGCACCCAGTCCTTACCATCTCTACCAGCTTCCCTGCCAGGGCCTTGGTGTAGTTCTCGTGGATGTACTTCTCCTTCCAGTCCTGGGGTGGGGGGAGGGGAGTCGGTTGGGGTCCTCAGGCCTGGCCCGGGCCAGCTGGGGCTCACTCTTTGCCCGACTCCATGGGATGCTCCAAGAGGGGGTTCGTCCCCCTCCCAGGCCCCCTGCAATGCGGGTGAATGTGTGCACGCCTGGGGGAGGGGGTACGCACCATGCCCCACCGGGTGCAGGTGTATGATCTGGGCACACAGTATGCCTGCAGGAGCTGGTGTCTTCACGTGTACCTACATGCGTGTGCATGTGTGTGCAGGTCTGCGTACAGGCATGTGCATGTGCCCAAGTCAGCCATAAGCTCACAATGTCTAGGAACGCCGTCACCACTTTCTCCTCCTCTGATCTTCTCGACACCCTCAGAAGTGAGTGAGGCTGAGATAGTATGCCCATTTTAGAGCTAAGATAACTGAGACCCCAAAGGTCGAGCGGCTCAACTAAGTCACAGCTGAGGGTCCACAGACCCAGGCCTGACTCCTGGTCTCCCCTCCACTAGATGGCGCTGCCTCTCCAGAGCCCGCATCTCCCAGCCCAAACCCTGCCCCACACGGTCCCCGGGGTGGAGGAAGGCAGGTGGCAGGTAGCCCTCAGAGCCCCAGCCCTTCTCAGGCTGAGCAGGAGTCCCCTTACACCACTGGCTCTCTGGGGTCCCTTCCTCTCCCTCCCCTGCCCATCCACCCAGGACCTCACCTCGGGGTTGCTGAACACCTCCCAGAGGTCGTTGTGGAGGTGGCTGGTCTGGTAGCTGTCCAGGGAGAGCAGGTGGCCAAAGGTGTGCCGGTTGGTCAGGTACATGAACACATCCTGGGGAGAACAGGACGGATGGAAGAGAGCCCCTCTCCCCCACCAGTCCCAGGAGAGAGAGGCATGGCTGCAGCCTCCTCTGTCCATCAAGTTGGAGATCAGGGAACCAAGTGCGGGCACCCCATCTCGTCTCCCTAGCACCCGGCCAGGCCTGACATGGATACAATCAAGGAGGGCTTCCTGGAGGACTGAATGGGAATCAAAGAACCAATGTTGATGGTGTAGAAGCAAAGAATGGTGTCTGCTCCTGAAGTTCAGAGCACAGGAAGACACCATCATGCTGCCACATTTAAATAAAAATAACCACAGTCGGGGGCACCCGGGTGGCTCAGTCGGTTGAGCATACGACTTGGGCTCAGGTCATGATCTTACGGTTTGTGAGTTCAAGCCCCATATCGGGCTCGCTGCTGTCAGCCTATTAGCACAGAGCCCACTTTGGGTCCTCTGTCCCCCTGTCTCTGCCCTTCCCCCGCTCACTCGCACCCTCTCTCAAAAATAAATATGCTTAAAAAATAAAATAACCACAAAAACATATTGGGCGGGGCACAGGGAGAGGGCAAAGGCGTCTCTTTGGCACATTACTCGGGGTACATTTAGGTGGAGAGTTTAGGGTTTTTTGGCTGTGTTGAAAATGTCAATAAAACAGACGCTGTGAAAACTGGGTCCACTAAAATGGTCCCCACAGACCCTAAGGACCAGCCCTCATGCCTGATGCTCCGAGTGCCCCCCATCAGGCCCTGGCATTTCAGAAGCTCGAGGCCCAAGGCGACAAGATCCAGACCACCTTCTCCATCAATGGGCCCCCCCCCCCGCCAACTGCCCAGCCCTGCCGACCTGCTGCCGGATATTGGCACAGAAGGCCATGTCGGGGTCCAGCTTGCTGTGGTGGAACAGGTCTGTCTGCAGCAGCTCAGCCCGCAGGGCACTGCCCTTGATCAGGTAGATGTTGGAGATGTAGGGCACGTTCCAGACGCCACTAAGGGTGAGAGAGGAAGATGGAGGGGGCTGCAGGCCGTCATAGGCTAGAGATCAGGGCCCCGGGGGAGGAGGCAGTCAGAGGCCGGGAGGGCACAAGAGTGCTGACTTGATTCCCCTACCCTGGGCACATGGGCTCAGGACAACTGCCAGGAAGTCCTTCCCTGTGTCTGACTGCAGTCTTCCCTGCTTTGGGTTTCGCAGGAATTCGAGGGCAACAAGGACGGGAATATTGGGGGAAGACAGGTGAGGGCGTTCCCATCCCGCAGGTACTCACACGCGCCGCCCCTGCACAATGTCCACATAGTCCTCGGAGCGGGCGTAGTAGCCATCTGCGCTCAGGGCCCCCCAGAAGTTCGACCACAGCCTCCCATGGCGGGTCATCAACGGGGCAATGACGTTCCTGAGGAAGGGAGCACCTCAGTGGGAGTCTCCCTGCCCACTGGGAGTTTGGGGCGCGGATCTAATTAGGTGCGGGGCAGGGGGTGGGGTGGGGGGAGGAGTGTCCTTTCAACCCGCAAGTGGGGCCTGGAGGGGGGTGGGTTGGCCCATCTGGTTCGTGCTCCCTCCAACAGGGCAGCCGGGAGCGGAGGGCAGGAGGGGCGGCTTGCAGCAGGGAGGAGGGAACATCTTGGACCAAGACAAGGTTGCCGGGCTGGGGCAGGTCCAGGGTGGGAGGTGAGGCCAGGGTGAAGGCGGAGAAGAAAGGCATGGCGGGAGGCCGGGGGGGACTGGAGCGGGGGCCCGGGCTTGGAGGGCCAGCCTGCCGCAGCCCACCCACAGCCTCACTTGTTCTGCTCGATCAGCAGGCGCAGGGTTTTAGGCTCCGTCAGGGCCACGTCAGCATCCACGCTGAAGTAGTAGGTGCAGCCACGGTCCTGTCGGCACAGATCCCTGCAGGTAGGGGTTCCGGGGTCAGCAGAGGGGTCCCAGAGCAGCGCTGCAGCCTTACTCTCCAGGCCTGCCCCCCTCTGTGACCACAGGGAACCAGCCAAAGGTCTTTAGAGGGGTCAGGCCAGCCCTGGTGCAGGTTGGGTCCGGCAGCCTTGACCCCGAGACCCAAACCCTGGGCTGTTAGGCTCTCAAGATGAATGCCCGGAGCTCAGCGACTGCTATCAAGTGCCCTGAAAACCCTCGTACTGGGGAGAACACGGCCCACAGACAGGTTCGTACACCGCCCAGGGCTAGGGGGTAAACCGGTTCTGCCCCTTCTGAAGTGTAGTTAGGTCACCCGTACCAAAAGCCTTACAAATTTATGCTCTTTTTGTTAATCTGGCCCAGGGCTCAGCAACGTACAGCCCGTGCTCCAAATCCAGCCCACTGCCTGGTATCGTTGTAGGTCGTGAGCTAGGAATGGCTTCACATTTCTGAATGGTTGGGGGAAACGAAAATCAAAAGGAGTCACATAAAAATCACATGAGGGGTGCCCGGGTGGCTCAGTTGGTTAAGTGTCTGAGGTCGGCTCAGGTCATGATCTCATGGCTCGTGAGTTCGAGGCCCGCGTCGGGCTCTGGGCTGACAGCTCGGAGCCTGGCGCCTGCTTCGGATTCTGTGTCTCCCTCTCTCTGCCCCTCCCCCACTCATGTTCTGTCTCTCTCTAGCAAAAAATAAATAAACATTAAAAAAATTTATTTTCAGGGGCGCCTGGGTGGCTCAGTTGGTTAAGCATCCAGCTCTTGGTTTCAGCTCAGGTCATGATCTCATGGTTCAGGGGTTCAAGCCCCACATCGGGGTCTGTGCTAATGGCATGGAGCCTGCTTGGGATTCTGTCTCCCTCTCTCTCTCTGCCCCTCCCCTGCTCGCTCTCCATCTGCCTCTCTCTCAAAAATAAATAAATACACATTTTTTTAAAAGTTTAAAAAAACTTATTTTTAAGTCGTATGAAATTCAAATTTCAGTGTTCGGAAGTAAAATTCGTGGGAGCACAGCCACGCCCATCTGTGCTACAACCTCAGGGTCAAGTGGGCGTGGCAGAAGAACCTTCCTGGAGGTTCCACAGCCTCGGATCTGGACTAATTCTTCCACAGTCAACAGGGATTACTTGTTTGTTTTAATAATAAAGGCAAAATCAGAGATCGTCTCTCGAATTGTCCTTGTTTACCTACTTCTGGCTTTCCAGTTCTTCCTCTTTCTCTGATTTGCTTCCTGCACCCAAATGACACTGCTCAGCCCTACCCAGGAGCCCCCAGGTTGGCAGGGCAGTGCCTATTTCCCCATTTGACAGTTGGGAACACTGAGGCCCAGAGAGGGGCAGGAACTTGCTGGAGACCACACGCAGCCTTCTGAACTCCTCTGTCTCCTGGCCTGATGCCCCCTGACAACACGGCCCCCCCTGCCCACTACCGTCAGCAGAGATGACCGTGGTGCCCCAGCCCCCAACTCACGCGCCCACGTTCCTGGCGTCAGCGTTTGCCACCCGAACCTCAGGGCCCACCAGTTTCACGGACTGGTACTCGCTGCCATGCTCTGCCAGGAACTGTTCCACTTGAGCCTTGTGGTGTTGCTCCTAGGGGTGGGGGATGGGAGGGTGAAGATGGGGACAGTGGTTCCATCCCAGGACCACAGCACCCTTGCTCCTGCAAGCCACTCCCCTTCATTCCTCGCACACTCTTGGCCATTGGCTTTCCTATCTCCAGACCTCTGCCTGTGCCAGCCTTTCTGCCTGGAGTGCCCTTTCCCAGCCATCCCTGACCAGGCCAGGCCCACCAGCCTCTTAAGAGCCTCTGTCACTTGGACAGCATCCCCGACCCCATATCCAGAGTCGTCGATTCTGCCGGTCTGGAGCGAGGCCCAGGGACCTGCTTCGCTACAAAATGCTCCGCGTGATCCTTGGACTGCACTTTGAAGAACAACAGTCCATTCCCCAGGCCGCTTGCAGGGGGAAGCGGACAAATCAAGATTTTTAGGATCAAACCCAGGATTCAGAGCGAAGCCCGGCTCTGCTACCATTAGTTGTGTGACCTTGGATAAGCCACCTCACCTGCCTCAGCTTCCATTCCCTCCCTTGTAAAATGGGAGGGCAACTGAGCCTAAGTCCCAGGGTTCCTGTAAGGAGGCGACAAATCAGACCGGGCTCACAGGTCTTTAAAGACTGCCTGTGACAGTTTTCTTTTTCTGCACAAAAAATGAGAATTCACGTCTCCAGGGAAGCGGGGAGACTCCCAAGGGCAGGGCTGACACCCTTCTCCTGTTTCCACGTGGCACAGTTGAACTAATGTCTGTGACACAGGCAGAGCTGAGCCGAGTGTGCGGCCACAGGGCCCTGGGAGTGGGGTGCTGACGGTCGGGGCTGAAAGGTCTCAGAAAGGGGTGCTGCCGGATGAGAGAACATTACGGGAGACAAGAAGCCTTGAGAACAGAGAGAATTCGACGGCGTATCTGGCATCCCGGATGCCAGGGAAATGAGGTGGGACTTTATCCAGCTAGGAAGTGGGGGAGAGGGAAGGAGCTAGGAATGCCGAACCTGGGCCTGCTCCCCACAAAGCAGCAGGCCTCAGGGCCCTCCTTGATTCCCCAGAGGGCACTCAGGGAATGAAAACCAGTTTGTCACCGAATCGAATCAGGAAGGACCGACTGAGGCAGGGAGAGAAACAATGACAATGATGACAGCTAGGAGCACCTGTCATGTGCCTGCCCTTCCCTCCTGTGTGTTTCCCGTGCCCACTTGTTTAACCCATGCAGCAATTCCACGAGGTCAGCACGATTCTAGTCCCATTGAATAGGTGAGAAAACTGAAGCACAGAGAGGTTGAGCAATGTCACACAGCCGATACAAGCAGTGGCCCAGGGATTCAAACCCGGCCAGTCTGACTCAAGTCAAACCCAACGCCCACTTCCATTTGGCCCAGAGAGTGATGCTTCAGTTAGTTCCGGGGATGTCCCAGGCCACCCCGTGAGGCTGGGCCTTGACCCAAGCCTCACGGCGACCCCACCAAGTGCCGCTACTCACGTGGTTGTGAATGAAAAGCCGCATCTGTTTCCGGGGGTAGTGGAGGCGGAGGAGCCGCTGGAAGAACAGGGATAGGAACGGCGTGGGCTGTTCGATGAACACACCGACCAGGACTGTGGGCAGAGCTTCATCCTGCACGGGGAGGGGGCGGCATGAGGGGCTGGTGATGTGGCCACCGGGCCACTGCCGAGCCCCTAGGGTGGCCTGAGGGACCCAGAGCCAGAGGCAGAGGCGTGCAGACTTAGCAGGAAAGGGGCCTGAGCCAGGGAGCTCCAAGCAGGATGTGCAGACAGGCAGAGGCAGGGCCTGACAGGGAAGCAGAAGGAAGCGGGAGGAGGTGGGGGGTCCCTGCTGGGCAGATCACGTGAGCCTAGACTTGGAGCCAGGACCAGCTGATGGCCTGCTGTCACACAGCTTCGCTGGCATGGGTTTGCAGCGAGCCATAAACAAGGAGTTAAGGGGGCACCTGGGTGTCTGTGGGTTGAGCATCCAACTTTGGCGCGGGTCATGATCTCACAGTTTGTCAGTTCGAGCCCCGTGTTGGGCTCTGTGCTGACAGCTCAGAGCCTGGAACCTGCGTCAGATTCTGCATCTCCCTCTTTCTCTGCCCTTCCTCGGCTCGTGCTCTATCTCTCTCTGTCTCTCAAAAATAAATAAACAAAAAAATATATTTTTTTAATATGAATAAACATTTTAAAACAAAACAAAACAGGGGTGCCCAGGTGGCTCAGTCAATTAAGCGTCCAACTCTTGGTTTCAGCTCAGGTCATGATCTCACAGTTCACTGTCAGCACAGAGCCTGACTGGCATTCTCTCTCCCTCACTCTCTACCCCTCCCCCACTCATGCTTTCTCTCTCTCTCAAAATAAATAAACTTAAAAAACAAAAAAACAAAAAAACGAGGAATAAGATCTGTGAGTGAGTGGAAGGCAGCTATAGGAGAGGAATCAAGCTGAAGGAACCAGAACTTTGGCATGGCCAGGGGGGTGTGCATGAACAGGAGCCATATGTAATCTCAGAAGGCTTCCAAGAGGAGGTGCCTGGGTGAGGAGGAAGAGGGAACCCCAGACAGGAAGGTTATCCCTTTACCTCCCACCAGAGACGATAGTCTCTTCCAGACTCACTCATCCTCCCCATCTGCGAGGACCAAGCGCCCCATGTCTGGCAGCCTTACCCCTATGCCCCTGAGGCTGCGCAGGCCCTCGTCACACACAGCGCAGCCTGTCTCGAAGGTCCAGAAGCGCGGGATGTAGTTGCCCAGGTAGTTCAGCTGCAGCTGTAGGGAGACGTGGGGTCGGAGACGAGGGGTACGGCTGGCTCCACCCACCTGTAACCACTGAGTCACATCCCTCTCAGCCCCTGGTGTTCCCACACCCCGGCCCTCTAAGGGGACAGGAATGCGGCTTTATTTGGGGCAGGTTTTGGAGAGAATGTTCTGGTGCCCTGAAGATCACCGAAGCTGCTCTGGGGGCCCAGGGAGGACTGGCAGCCTGATACACTTTTATCTCTGGATCTGCTAGAAGCTTGTAAAATGCAGACTGCTGCCTGCCCCCCACCCCAGAGAGTCCAACCGAGCAGGTCTGAGGTGGGGGCAGGAAGTCTGCTTTAATACCCTCCCCTTTCTCTCTGACACGGTGCGGGGAGTGGAGGGGGTCGGGGACCACACGTGAAGAAGTGTGCTGTGAGCCAGGGCTGGCTCCCCGGGGCATGTGAGGTCCGGCCCGCACCCCAGCTGCTTCTTAGCTCCAGAAGCGCAGGGACCAGTCTGTGCTGCTCATGATAGACTATGCCTTATGTCCTTCCTAAATGTTTGCTGAATGAAGAAACAAGTCTGCCCTGGGATGATGGGGTACGGATGACTTGGGGCAGCCCAGCTGTGGCCTGGATGGGGTCAGCAACCTCCTTTCTGTCCTGGGGTTCGGCAGGGATGAACATTACTGACCGTCACAGCAAGGAAACAAGTCACCATGCTGAACTCAGATGTGAGGACAGAGGCAGCCAGGGGGCAGCGGGGCCCAGGGGGGCGGCTCTGACCCCAAGGAGAAGCGGTGGGGTCCAAGTGAGAGCAGAGTTGAGCCTCTGGCCCTGCTCTCACTCTCCCCAGGGGCTTGGGCCTCTCCCTACCTTGGTGGGCCCATTGCCATGAATCAGGACCGGAAGGGTGTCATAGGCAAGGTTCCTCGCTCTCACGTGGCCCATTTCAAACTTGAGCACCACCTCATCTGGGGGTCAGAAAGCACAGAGACATCCAGTATCAGGTCCAGAGGCCAAGTTCAAGTCCTAGCTCCTGCTCAGGGCTTGTTCTGGGCTATTAACATCACTTCTTCGAGCCTCAAGTTTCCTCGTCTGTGATATGGGGGTAAGAGCGGGAGGGCTCTGTGTTGGGCAAGCAGTCAGCACCACTCCTGGCACATAATGAGCATAGAATCCACGGCAACCCCCAGTATTTATGGTGATTACTTATTCAAGCCAGAAGCAGGAGATGGGAGAAAACAAAGACCTGAAACATCCCAGCTAGAGAAGCTCCAGGGACAGAGCCTTGGGGGTACCTGCTCCGACAAACGACAGACCTGGAGAGCAGCACTGAGAATGTGCCAGCCCCAGCAGAAGGCCTGAGCAAGGTGGGGGACAGGTCCTGTCCTGGTGGAGAGACTCCCTCGGGCAGGATCCTGACAGATCCTCTGACCCCATTAGACAGCAGGAGGTAGCAGCCCATCCAACAGTTACAAATGCAGAGGAGTCTTCCGTCAGAGGCCTGGGAAGACACTGGGGAGGGAGGCCCTCCGTGTGGGTGACCATGTGAAGGGGCCCCTCTGCGCAAGCGCCTGGCTCCCCCAAGAGACGCTCAGGACTCAGCTTCTTAGTCTAGGTTCCTGTGCTTCCAGAAGCCACAGACAAAAGGGTGTGGCTTTTCCTGCACCTTCCTGGGAAAGGACTCATTTGATTCTCAAAAAATAAGATTCCACTTATCCCATAAAATCACCAAGCAGCTATTGGGTCCAACTATCCTTTTCTTTTTTTTTTTTCCAACTACTCTTTTCTTAAGATCAGCTTCCTGTGCCAGCCACCTGGGAGGTGGGAGGGCAGGGAAGGAGAGGAAGCAGGAGCACCTATAAGAACCAGGGATGCAGGGCTGGGGACAGGTACCTACTGTGCACATCGCCCACCTGCTCCCAGGCTGAATTGCTGCCTCCTCCCCTGGTGTCCTGCAGGCTCTTAGACTGACCTCTTGGCCCTCCTTTCTCCACCCCCAGGGAAACACAGCTCTGCCCCAGGACATCCAGGTGGCCTCTGGGACCTGGGGATGGGGCAAGTGACCTCCTGGAACAATAGCCAGAGAGAAACCAGCCTCTTCTCCTCCTTGGGCTCAGGCCCTGCCTGGAATCCTCATCGCCTTATTAATGACTCTCTTAGGATCTCTCTCCCCGTGGGAGCCGCTCACCCAAGGCTCCATCCAGATTCTGGAAGATACGGCAGCGGTGGTCCAGGGTGATGTTGATCCGCTCCTGTAGGAAAGAGAGCACTGGGCTGCAGCAGGGACAGGCCCTGGTGGAGGATGGGGCTCCATCACGCCCAGTGTGGGGAGCCTGCCTTCCTACTTCTGCCCCTTCCTCCCCCCAACACCCGCTGTGCCCTGGCACACCAGAATAGCTCGGAGCCCTTCGATCTATTGGTCCAGTGGCTCTACTCACAGAGAACCAGGGACTTTCAGAATTAGAAGGCATCTAAGGCAACAGCTGGTTCAAGAATAACAATCATGAGGGGCGCCTGGGTGGCGCAGTCGGTTAAGCGTCC